TTGTAATTAAGGCTATATACTAATAACCAACTTTATACATTTTTTCATTTATTAGTTAAAATTATATTGATCATTCTATTACAGTTTCTGAATTTCTCTATAATTTTCTAGAGAATATTAACTAAACTGATGAAAAATATCATAAAAAATCATAGCATATGACAGAAACTGACAAAAAAATATTTTGAGTTATAAAAAATGTAGGTTTCTGTTCGGTTAACTTTTTAATGAATCCAAGATTTGATTCCAAGATTTTGATGAATCCAAATTAGCCAGACTCTCTAAATTAGCCAGACTTCGATCAATGTCGTACCATCCTTTTCTCAATTTATTGCAAAAAACGAAGTTTTTATTTACCCCGGTATACACCCGCGTAATCGAAATATACAGGGTGTTTCAAAAAACATGTGCTATCTCTCATGGGGAGATTCCTCCATATGAAAAATAAAATCTTATTTTTACGTGAGGAATTTTACCACGAGAGATGGCACATGTTTTTTGTAACACTCTGTATAAACCACTAAAAGAATTTGTGATATTTTGACTGACGTTGTGTCGTTGTGTGAGTAAAATAAAAAAAAACAATGGAAGTCCAAAATTCTTTTAATTTCAATACTAAAAATTAAAGATTACAAACTATTTTAACTTAAGCCTCTAAACTTCTAATGACATGATACCGGCTTGAATTAACACGTGTAAGATATATCTAGCTCGATGCAGCCCACTTGATCTCACACAATCTCGGGCGTCAAGCCGCTTAATTTATTTATATCGTTGGGTGTTCCGGTTCCAAAAAACCAAACGTACCGGTCGTACTCTTTTCGCTTTCACTTTCACCGCGGGCCGTTCATCTTCGGCCACTAAAAATAAAAAGGAAAACAACATCCGTTACACATCTTTCGGCTGCGAGGAATGCTACCGGTTTGTCGAAGGTAAAATTCATCATCTTTTGCGAAACGATGTATCTAAATATCTATTATTTAAGTCAATTTTTCTTTGCGCACAAATCATTTAACGGGTTTTCTAGAATATCCATACGAAACTGAGAATTTTAATCCGTACAAAACGAGTTGAGAGAATTAATTAGTCTAAGAAAATAGGCCTTCAAATACGAAGTTTTGGTAAAAACTTGATTCTTTGATAAGTTACTTTAAAAGAACTAAAAACGAATCGTATTTTTTTTTTAAATTCACCTCCGAGAAGGGGTGATCTTAATAAATAAAATACAAACAGAACAAAAACTGAAATGGGCTATGACACCTTTCAGCCTTATAAAACAGCAGGAATAGATGGGATTTTTCCTGCCCTTCTAAAGAAGGGTCAGGAAATAGCTACACTCCATCTATTAAACATTACAAGAAGCAGCTTAGCGATGGGATATATATCAACCATCTGGAGAAGAGCTAAAGTCATCTTCATACCCAAAATAGGCAAAACTGACTGGGCTAACCCCAAATCATTTAGGCCTATTAGTCTCACATCGTTCATATTAAAAACGATAGAGAAAGTAGTGGACAACCATATTAGAGTAAATCATCTACAGGTTAAACCACTGCACGATAGTCAGCTTGCATATAGAGCGGGCAGATCCACAGAAACTGCTCTGTACCAGTTAACTGAGCTAATACAGGCAAGCCTGGATAGCAAAGAAACAGCAGTTTGTGCTTTCTGGGCATTGCAGGGGCGTTTGACAATATACATCACAAGGTGGTCAAGCGATCTCTTGAAACAAGAGGGGTGAACAGTACGATAATTCGCTGGTTTTGGGAAATGCTCTCAACACGAACAGCAGAGGCTGAGATAGGTACCAAAACTCTAGTTGTTAAAACAACGCAAGGAACTCCACAAGGTGGAGTGACCTCCCCCCTACTGTGGAGCTTGGTAGTGGATGAACTACTGGAAGAATTAACTCTAGCGGGAATACACTGCATAGGGTACGCAGATGACATAGTCATCATTGCACAGGGGAAACATGAAGGCACCCTGTGTGATATTATCCAAAGAGGATTCCGCATCGCTGAGAGATGGTGCAGGACTGTCGGGCTGAGTATTAACTCAGATAAAACCGCAGTAGTGCCATTCACCAGAAAGCGAAGTTTGAAAAACTTGAAAAGAATCCATCTAGATGGAAAGGAAATACTGCCATCACAGGAAGTGAAATATCTGGGAATAACCCTGGATAGTAAACTTCTCTGGAACAGGCATATTAAGAACATTACCAGCAAAGCCACAAAGGCTCTCATGATATGCAGAAGACTGGCGGGAAATAGGTGGGGCTGCGCCCCTAACATTTTGCGCTGGATGTATACCATGATAGTAAGACCCATGATTACTTATGGAGCAGTTGCTTGGTATACAAAACTAGAGCAACGTACAGCAAGGCAAACCCTGTGCAAAGTACAGAGACTGGCATGTATCTGCATCACAGGTGCCATGAGAACATGTCCAACAGCAGCAATGGAGGTCATTCTAGACCTAACACCACTGCATATTGTCGTCGGTAGTTATGCCAATGCGACAATGATTAGAATGGTCATTGACGGAAACAGTACTGGGAGAATTTTCAGGTCAGGGGCTTGGAACACCCTCAAAAAGAAAATTCCACTTCTCCAACTCCCAGTGGATGACATACCAAGAATTTACAACTTTGAGAAACACCTCACTGTAGTATTGAGTAATAAAAAGGATTGGAAGAAAGAAACGCTTACTCAGCATATAAAAGACCATACCATCACGTGGTATACTGATGCTTCCAAAACCAAAGCAGGGACAGGGATAGGAGTATTTGGGCCGAAAACTGAATACTCCGAACCAATGGGCACCTACCCCAGTATCCTTCAGGCAGAAATTTGCGCTATCGAAAGATGCGTACAATTTATCTTAGATAGGAACTATCGAAAACAGGAAATTGCCATCCTATCCGATATTCAAGCAGCACTTAACGCGATCAAATCAGTAACCATCAATTCGAAGTTGGTCAAAGAATGCCTGGAGAAGCTCAACAAATTAGACAAAGAAAATAAAGTCCTCCTACTCTGGGTGCCTCCTCACCATGGGATAGAAGGCAATGAAAAAGCAAATGATCTAGCTAGAAAAGGAGCGAACACTCCACTAACTGGACCAGAACCGTTCTGTTTTCCAAACGGGAACCAACTGAAAGCGGAACTGAAGAATCTGGAAGACTCCATCCGTAACTTGGAATGGGTGTCCTCCAACGGTCTAAGACACTCGAAAAAGTTCCTGAGAACTTATGACCGAGAAAAATCAAAGGTTTTCCTTGATTTAAGTAAAAACAATCTTCGGATTGTCACGGGGTTTCTAACAGGACACTGTCTCCTCAACGAACACCTCAGTAGGCTGAAACTGAAAAACAACGGCGAATGCAGATTTTGTGGGGAAAATGGGGAAACACCAGAACACCTTATCACTGAGTGCGCCGAGACGACGACCATTCGTGCCATGAACCTTGGTACGTCTGATGTCGAGGATGGAGAGCTGGCCTCTGTGGAGCCGTCTCAGATACTGGCTTTTCTTAAAGCCCTGAGACTGTATGATGAGTTATAACTCGTTATAACTCAAGAAAGGGGAACACACAATAGATCTATAAGGTCGCGGTGATTAACTCCCCTCCTAAACATTCTACATTCTACATTCTAATAAATAAAATTATTTTTTCTAAATTTCGGAGAAACGGTAAGTACTAGAAAAAAAGTTCAAATAAAAGTTGTAGAGCGCCTAATTTTACCTAAAAATGGTCTCTATACTTTTTGTACTCAATGTCCTTACCGTTTCTCTGAAATTTGGAAAAAAAAACGTTTTATTTATATTTTTCACCCCTTCTCGGAGTGAATTTAAAAAAACCTTAATCTATACTAATATATATAATCCTTAAATGATTAATCACGATCCTGCTCAAACCACTCAACGTAAGAAGCTGAATTTTGGCATACAGGTTGATTCTAGGGTTTAGAGGTTCGATAAGAAGGGATTTATCGAAATTCCAGTTCCAAGGGGGTGAAACCACCCCTCAAATATTAGTTTCCGAAAAAACGCTTAAACACGTATATTTTATTTTGTTTTTTTTTGCATATTTTAAGATTTTTTAAAAATGTATACAAGGGTGTTTCGAAAAATCTGGTCAGATTAATCATGATCCTGCTTAAAGCGTTTGAGGTAAAAAGCTGATTTTTGGAAAACGGATTGACTTTAGAGTGTAGAGGTTCGATAAGAAGGGATTTTTCGAAACTCGAATTCTAAGGGGGTGAAACCACCCCTAAAATATTAGAATATTTTTATATAAAAACCGGTGAATTTTTCGGAAAAACTCTTACATACGTATATTTTATTTTGTTGTTTTACATATTTTAAGATTTTTTCAAAATTTATACAGGGTGTTTCATAAAATATGACCATTGAGTAATCACGATTCTGCTTAAACTGCTTGACGTGAGGGGTGTCTCACTGTTGGAATTACATGTACATTTTCTTGGCAGTCGCTGGCAGTCATTGGCAGTCTTATGGCAGTCGCCTATAATAATTACATGGCAGTCATAGGCAGTCTTCTACGCAGTCATTGGCAGTGGCTTGGAAATAGAATGATATTTTGGCAGTACATGTACATTTTTTGCCCAAGTGAGACACCCCTCGGCTTGACGTTTAAAGCTGATTTTTTGGCAAAAGGATTGACTGTGGGATGTAGAGGTTCGATAAGGAGGAGGTTCTCGAATCTCAAATTCCAAGAGGTTGAAAACGCCCCTCAAATATTACAATATTTGTTATTTAAAAAACGGTTAGTCTTTCGGGAAAACGCTTGGAAACGCATAATTTATTTTGTTTTCTTACATATTTTGAAATTTTTTAAAAAATCATGCAAAAAGTTGGCTAATTGATTAACCACGATTCTGAGAAATGTCTATGGTACCTATGTTTATTATGGGAATTAGAATTAATTTTTATGGGATTTATTACAAAAAAAATAATTCTTCGCAAAACAACATTTTTCAGTATCTTGTATTTCCCTCTCTTGCTCTTATTACAGCCAGCATTCGTCTTGGTAGACTTTCAAACAATCTACGTATATATTCTTGCTCCATGTTGTTCCAAGTTATGGTTATTTCATGTTGGATTGTTTCATTAAGGGCTCTGAACGGAGCTTGACGCTGCTGGACTCCCCTAGCCAGGTGATCCCACACAATATTTACTTCCTCAAGATATTCTTGCACTATCCTGGCAGTGTGCGGTCTGACGTTGTCATGCATTAGCACGAAATTCTCACCAATAAAAGGCCCGTATGGAACCACATGGGATTCTAGGATGTCTGTTATATATCGATCGGTCGTCATCCGACTATCATTAACTCCGTTCGTCCATGAAGAGAAATTCCTCCCCATACCATTATTGACCCACCGCTAAAACTTTTCCTTTCACGAAAGTTGCATTGGAAATACCGCTCGCCTGGTCTTCGGTATACTGGCATACGTCTATCTGAAGTGGACAAACAAAATCTAGACCCGTTTGTAAAGAGGATATTAGACCATTCTTCTAAATCTCATCCAACATGGTCTCTAGCAAACTGTAAGCGGCTCACTCGATGTTCTCTGGTAAGACGGGGGCCACTGGCTGGTATCATTGCACGTATATTATGCTCTCTAAGTCGATTACGTACGGTTTGTACGCAAATTTGAATATTTCGAGCAGCTAAAATTTCATTTCGGAGCATTCGAGCAGTGCAGTGTCGTGTTCTTAGGACCGAAAGTCGTATATAGAAAACGATCATCTAGAGATGTTGTGACTCTGCGACGACCTTGTCCCTCCCTTCTAGAGTACTGCCCCGTCTCTCTATACCTTTGAACAACTCTTGAAATGGTACTCTGTTGAACACCAATTATATCTGCCACGTACCTTTGACTTCGCCCGTCTTCAATTAGCGCAATTACTCTGACAGCTTCTTCATCTGTCAAATGACGTGTTAAACGTTGAGAAGCAGCCATTATACACACCTCTCACTTCTAACACTTTTTCCTAGTAAACGGAAAATAGAACCTAATAAAAGAAAAAAGGATACATTTCTTTAACTCGAAATTATCAGTTAAAGAATACCTATTCGGGAAGTAGACAAAAAATGTAAAAATACGTTTTACGTAGTTACAATATTTAGAAACATTGGTGATGCGATAATTTTTGTGCGGTGTGTAGTATTTTGCCCTTTTAATGTGAACAGTCCCGCCAAAGCAGCACAGTAATAAAAATGACGTAAGGAATCCTCATTATAATATACCATAACCTATGTTAATATAAAGCTACTCGTAATAATTCTAGTTCATGCAAGCTACTGGTTATTCAATTTAATTTTAACATAACTAATGATGCTTTGGCATAGGAAACTATTGTTATTCTTTAACGGTCGTCCAACATATAAATATTAATCGAAATAGTAACAATGTAGACTCGAAAACATATTTAATTGAGATTAGAGATTAGAAAATTAAATTAGAAAACAACCGGTATTAATTTATTATTCTAACGTCTACGGCATAGTAATATTGGAACAAAAATAATTTGAATTTATAACATCAGCTGTTATGAAGTTGAATGAATTTAATAACAGAAATAATAATTAAATAGAATTTTCTTCAGTTTGTTATTGCATCCATTTTTAAGTAGAACAGTTTTTGAAGGTGATTTAGTGCTACACATTGTCTATAGAGATAGACACAATGTTTATGGAGAGCTGCTGTTGTAAATAAAAAAATCAGCTCTAAAAAACAAACAGGGAGTCTGTCTATCAAAAGTGTCCACCTATGTGTGTTCATATAAGGATGTTCGGTCCTAAGATTTCAGTACCGGTATCTGTGGAACATCTCTGGAATCACGATTTACCAGTCCTAAAACCGGTATACCGGTTCCAACAATTAAATTGGTGGGACCGATACTGAACCTCATTGTTTATGTTCTCATTTCCGGCATATTTTTGATTTCTTGTCCAATGTTCTCTTTACTTATGAAAAATTGAAAAAGTACTGGAAGCTGCTGTTCTTGGATATATAAATGGAGCGGTAATAAGATGCTATTCTACATATTTTAAATAATGGAGTAGACGCTATTGAATATCGGCCTGAGTTTTACGGACATTTTAATTTATATAATATACATGAGTGATCCATGAGTAAGAGTTTTTACTTGAATTTTAGATGTACTAAAAAAAGACTAGATTACTAGACCAAACTAGACTAGCAATGCCCTGAACATATATCAAAATAAATTGCATTACATAATATATGTTCCTAGCGTATTATACCGAATGATCGAAAAAAAGTCCAATTAGCTTGGAAATGAACATCGATTACATATCCCATATAATTTTACATATAAACTGACAGCGATCTTCATTTCATAGCCATCGCTGACGCAGTTTTTTTTCGATCATACGGTACCTAGAGTAGGAGAACACAATCAGCTTTGCACAAAAACCTGTACCGAAATCATTTTATGCAGGTTTTTTGATTTTCATATTATCATGAAACTATTTTTATGTATCAAGTGAAACCGGTCTTCCGGTACCGATACCAAAATGTGTCTTCCGGTACAAGTACCGAAACCGGTATGGAAATACCGCATTGGTATACCGGAATACGGGAAGTACGTACCGGTATACCGGAAGACAGAACATACCTATATTCATAGTGTATACCCATTAGATTCATCATCATCATCATCATTATCACGCAGCCCCCTTTCACGTCCATAGTTGAACATAGGCCTCCTCCAAACGTCTCCAGTTCTCGCGGTTTTTAGCTGTTGCAATCCAGTTAGTTGTTATTCGTTTCAGGTCGTCGGTCCATCGGGTGGGAGATCTGCCTTGGCTACGCTTTTCGGCTCTTGGTCTCCACTCTATAAGTCTTTTAGTCCATCTCCCGTCTGCCATTCTAGCAATGTGTCCAGCCCATCTCCACTTTTGTTTTGTAATTCGCTGGATAATGTCATCCGTTCCCGTACGTCGGCGTATCTCTTCATTTCTTACTCGATCTCTCAAAGTCAGGCTAATCATAGATCTCCCCATCCGCCTCTATGTCACTCTCAATTTTTCTGCGGTTGCTTTTGTTAGAGTGAGTGTCTCTGCGCCATAGGTCAAAACCGGGAGGATACATTGGTTAAATGCCTTTCTTTCAGGTGTATTGGGATATTTGCTCTAAAGATGTCCCTCATTTTTCCGTAAGCCGCCCATCCCAAGGTAATTCGTCTAGCCAGTTCACAGGTTTGGTTATCTCTGCTTATTTTGATCTCATGGCCCAAGTATACATATTTGTGGACTAATTCTATTCTGTTGTTGTGAATTTGTATGTGTTCGCTGGGCACCATATTAGTCATTATCTTAGTCTTGTCAAAATTTATTGGTAGTCCAATCTCGTGTAATGCATCGTTAAGTTCTTGAAGCATGTCCTTGATCTCTCCCAGACTATCTGACACTATAACGATATCATCCGCAAAGCGTAGGTGGTTGAGTCTCTCTCCATCGATAACTATTCCTTTTTTGAGCCAGCATTTTGAATGCATGCTCAAGAACAATAATAAACAATTTTGGCGACATGGTATCGCCCTGCCTAACTCCCCTTTTTATTTTTATCTGGTTAGTTATGGAATGTAGATTTACAGTTGTTGTAGCATTGTCATATATGTTTTTTATTATGTTACAATATCGATGGTCGATTCTACATTCTTGTAGCGCTGTTAGGATGGCCGGTAATTTTACCGTATCGAACGCTTTTTTAAAATCGATAAATATCAGTGCTAGGGGATGATTGTATTCGATGGTTTTTTCTATTAAGGTTTTTAAACACTGCAGATGAACGTTGGTACCAAATTCGGAACGGACACCAGCTTGCTCTTTAGGTTGGTAGAAGTCCAATTTTGCCTCTAGTCTATTTGTTATAATTCGGGTATATAATTTATAAAGATGGTTAAGAAGGCTAATTGGTCTGTAATTTTCCAGGTCTGCTATGTCTCCGTTTTTATGTAAGAGGATAATTATTGAGTTATTCCACTTTGTAGGGATATTTTGATTTTTCAGACAGAGATGTTGAAGACAGCCGTTGAATATTGGTCATTAATACTGTTCCTCCCATCTTTATCGCTTCTGTGACGACATCATCATCCCGCGGAGCTTTATTGTTCTTCATCTTTTTTAGAGCATTGTAAATTTCACTTACAGAGATTTCCGGAACAGAACCTCTGATTTTGAACCTCAGAACCCTGATTTTGAACTTTTCCTTGTAGGTACTTCCTCGAGTCTAGAGTAGAATGGTTGATGTATAGTGTTTCATAGAATGTTTCCACAATCTGTAATAAATGGTCTCTATTAGATGTTATATTACCATTTTTGTCCTTGAGTTTCACGATTTCTTTTTTTCCATTAGTGAGCTTGCGTCTCATTATTTTCATGCTCTTATTATCCTCGATAGTTTTAACAAATATTTGTTTCTGTGCTTTCTTATGTCTTTTCTGATTTCTCTTGATATTTCCTTATTTAGTTTATTCAAATCACCTTGACTGGCGTGTTCGTCGCTTTTCAATTTCCTTCTTTGTTCTATTTTGTGTTGTGTTTCCAAACTGATCTTTTCCTCCTTCAAATTTGTTGGGCAACATTTCTTTTGGGCTTCCGTTATTGCTTCTACTATTATATCATTTATAATACCCATTAGTTTATTATTATATCATTTATAATACCCATTAGATTATAACCTATTATATACCAGAATCTGCATTCGCTGTTATTTCTTAGCTTCAATCTACTGAGGTGTACGTTAACGAGACAGTGTCATGTTAAAAACCACGTGACAATCCGAAGATTGTTCTGACTTAAATCAAGGAAAATCTTTGACTTTTCTCGGTCGTAAGTTCTGAGAGATTTCTTCGAGTGTCTTAGACCGTTGGAGGATTCCTCTTCCAGGTTACGGATGGAGTCTTCCAGGTTATTAATTTCCGTTTTAAATTTATTTCCACTTGGGAAGAAGAACGGTTGTGGTCCAGTCAGTGAAATGTTCCTTTCTTTTCTAGCTAGATCGTTACCACGTTATACTATGATCTTTTACGTGTTGAGCAAATTCTTCTCTCTTCCAATCCTTTTTATTGCTCAATACAACAGTGAGATATTTCTCAAAGTTGTACATTCTTGGTATGTCATCCTCTGGGAGTTGGAGGAGTGTTCCAAGCCTTTTGAGGGCGTTCGAAGCCCCTGACAATTCTTCCAGTACTGTTCCGTCAATGATCATTCTAACGACAACCAAAAAGTAATGAGGCAACAAAGTAGTGAGATTTTTGAATGTCCGGAGTGCGGAAGAGAGATAACAACACGTATCGGGCTTTTCAGTCACAGAAAAGCTCATGACAGAAG